TACTAACTGCCTGGCTTCATCTCCCTCTGCTATGTTCAGTCGTGTAGCTCTAAATTATGCATGACTGCTTTTACTTGTTCATTAATCTGGCATCAAATGTCAGAATTCTTACAGATTCAGATGTGCATCCCAAAATGCATTGCATGACAGACTGGAGCAGAGCACTGTAAATGAACTGCTCAACACGCCAAATGGGAGATGGGAACAAATGCAGGGCTGTGTACTTACCTCATTAACAAGGATGCTGTCATAGCAAAATGGTATGTAAACACCCCATGAAGTCATTCTGATTAGAGTAAGCTGTTGAGGTGTATGTTAACATTATTGCATAGACAAAGCTCGTATGTGAACAGAGTCAGAAATACATTCAGTGTCTGCACTGTGCAGGTTCTGAAAGGCTCGCTGCTTATAGCTTTGAAGAGGGATTTGCTTTGGTATTAGCCTAAGTATTCTGCATCTTTAGTTACCCTTTCCTAAGACTTTTGTGTTTTAGCTCATAAGGTCATTGATATAATCATCCAGCATCACAGCTGCAGGAGTAGTAGCAAAGGCCATCGTGACTAAACATGATATTTTTTATGTAATGTAAAGTTACAATAATCTATGAAGTATTTTCTTTTCAGATAGAACAGCAGTTCCTGGACTGTAGGGTGTATTGGAAGATTAGCGGCTGCTTGGAAATTGGGCACTCTTTTCTTACTTGTTGCCTTTCTTTGGGGACCGGGATAAGAGGCAGAGGAGACGGGGGCAACTAGGATCAGCATTTTAATTGGAATAGCTCCAATAAATCATATGAAAATCCAAGGTTACAAAAAAAGCAGTGCTAAACCCTGTCACAGCTTTTGCCCCCAGGCAGTGCTGTTCAGGCAGTGTGATTCAGGGCAGGACTGGGTTTCCACTACGTTCTTTGGACTGCTGCATAGTTCCCACCTATGCTGGGGATGCAGTGTATGTACTTGGGAGACTACCCTTTTTCTCAGTCACTTTATTTCTGTCCTTCATGAGTTGTCTTTTTGTCCCAAATGTGAGCTTCCCAACCACCTAACCTAACCTCATGAGGGAAATCTAACTCCCATGAAAGGTCTTGTCCTAGTACAGTCTTTGCAGCTTCTATGTGGTATTGTGATTTTTTCAAATGCCACCACCTCACCCTTCTTATCTGATCTTGTGTTAGCTAGATGGGTATTACCTACCCTTTTGTTTGTTTGTTTGTTTGTTTTGGGTTTTTTTAAACAGCAGACAAAAATTTAAGTAGGGTAGAGGATTTCTCCAAGCCCAAATGATGAATCACTGGTTGGATTATTGTAGTCCCATGTTTTCTGATTTACAGTCCATGCTTATTTTACAGACATTGCTGTTTAAAAACCTGTCCCTGCCTTCTGGCACTCTGTTAATTTCTCCAGCACAGCCAGTTCCTTTGTGCTGTCTGCCTACCAGACCTTCGAGTGAAATTACCGAGCATTATGGTAAAGTTTTACTTTTTCAGCTTAAATGAGGAGCACAGCACAAAGTGGAGTGACTGGTGCCTGTTTTTTTCAGTGTTGTTCCAGTTCAGACTGTCTCTGTCTGACCAAGCAGAGATCACTAGCTGCACAGGATTGTGTTGTGTGGTGGTATATGTGGGTGGAGTTTATCCTGAGTTCACCCATGTCATTGTGATTTCCACCTAGCAGACTAGAGCACCAGAAACCCTTTTACTTGACCTATTACTAAAACTGTTAAAAACATCTTGCATTACAACTCAAGTTAGATGACTCTGTCTCAGAAAGCAAAACTTGTAACTTTCTATCCTATTTAGTTGTACTCTGGAACCAAATTACATTGTTTAAATGGTACATCCTGAAGTATTCAGGTTTAGAAAAATCTTCTGAAAAGTAAATATGTAAAATCATGGATTCAGGGGTGGTCTGGGCCAGGCAGGCCTGCACCAGGCAAATCTGAAATCTGTACCAGGCAATTTTGGTAGACTGTGTAATAAAGCATAGAATTGGTAGCCACCTGGGTAGGTATGATTATTTGGGAAGAGTCAAAGCAGCATTTGTAACAGAGTCCTGTCTTAGGGATTTGGAGTTCTTTGGAGGCATCAGCAAGAATTAAAAATGTTTTGGTTCAAAAATCAACGTGAACTTTATAAAAAATGCTTTTTAAGGAAACTAAGGAGCTATAATGTAAGAGGGAAGGTCTTTGCACAAGTAAATGGCAGATTAAAAGATAGGATCAAAGGGTGGAAGTAGGTCAGTTCTCAACTGAAGGAGGGTCCCAGTTATGTTCCGCAGAGATCTGTGCCATTCAACACATCTGTAAATGGTGTCAGTAAGGGGGATGAGCAATTGAGTGAGCGAGTTTGCTGTGAAGAAGAGAGCCAGCTATGGAGAACAGTAGAAGGACATTAAAAGTGCTGAGGACTGTGCAACAAAATGGGCGATGAAATTGAGTGTAGATAAATTAGGATAACTGAGGAGCACTGGACAGAACAATCCTGATTATATATAAAGATGCTGAGTATTACCATTGAGGAATAAGATTTGGGGATTGTGATTGGCGATTCTGTGAGATCATGAGCTCACTGGTCACCAAAACACAACCCAAATGTAAGAGGAAAGAAATACAGAGTAAAATTGAGAATGTCATTACCAGAGTGTATAGTCCAGTTGCTTCCCGAGTGCTGCGTGCACTTCTGGAGCCTTCATCTCAGAAAGGATTTATTAGAACTGGAAGAGGCTTAGAGAACGTCAGCAAAGAATTATGAGCTACATGGGGTGGCTTCCATATGAAGAACACTTCTGTAAACTGGGACTTTGGTCTGGGACAGGAATGAAGTGAGGGCAATGTCGTGGAGATCTGCAGAGGAAGGAGGAGGCAGACTAACCACTGCCTTTCAAAACAAGAACCTGTACAGTTAGGAGGGAAGGCAGATTCTGAGCCCTCAAAAGGAAGAGGTTCTCTGTAAAATTGGTAGTGGAGAGACCTGTGGGACAACTTTTCGAAAGTATGCTGTACATATCAGAAACTGAGACGGTTTCCAGGGGGAGTGTGGACTACTGCTTGAAAGGGTGATGTGCTGAAAGTTGCTAAACAGACAGAAACCACGTATGGTTCAGGAAGTCCCTGACATCAAAGTAGTTGGAGGTCAGAAGAGTATCGGTGAGAAATACCACATGTTCGTGACCTGTTCTGTACTTTTGGCTGTTACTGGAGACAGAATACTGGCCTAGATGTACCGTTAATCTAGCCTGCACACCTGGTCTTATTTTTAAATGTCTTGGGACAAAGGAAAATAATGTTCCTTATGAACATCAATTAATTCCTGATCATATTAGTGTATAACCTTATACACATCTTTAGGATGTGTGTTTGTGTTTACTTGTACATATACAGGATTTGCTTTTGACTAGGGTTTATTATAAAAGTGACATGGTCCTATATGCAGATTAAATAGTAAACGAAGTTTGCTTTCACAGAAGCATCATTACTTTAAAAATGGATGCAGATTATTCTTGGGGGGCGGGGGCGTGTGTGTCTGATTCCAAAATACATGAAAGCACTTTTGCAGGTTTTAAACATTCTAACCGTAATTACAGTATCAACATTATTTGTATCACAGCCTCTCCAAAATTTTTAGAAAAACGTCTATGCAGTGCCATAGAGATTCTTAAAAAGCCCATAAAACCACAATCATCAGATGGGTTAACTCTAGGCAGCTCTTGTTTCCTTTAATTTAGTATATAATCAGGAATTCTTTGGAACATTTAGTAACCAAAACTGAGCTCTCAAGATTTAAAGTGGACGTAAGTAATTTGAAACATGGAAAGCCCACAAAGAGATGCTGGATAGTATTGTGATTTTTTTTTTTTCTTTAAATTACAGACTATTAGGTCATGATAAAATAAATGTTGGTAAGTTCATGTTCTACTTTTCCAGAAACTTAAGAAGAAAAAAAAAAAGGCAGGCATGATAGAATTTTTTCTTCTATATTCTGAAAAAGGTTATGTAATACTCTTTCTAGTGTAGCATATTATAAGAATGAGTTATTTTCTAAAATTAAAAAGCTGTTTATCCAATTTCATGACTGTAATACAGCTTTCAAGAATTGCAAATAGTCTTATAATGAAAAAGCTGTGTTGTGCTTAATAGTCAAATCTATATAAATACCTGTTTTTGTATGATGGTTACTGTCCCACAGCAACCTAGTGTTTTTTTCCTCCAAATGCTTGCTTTATTAATTAATAAAAGGTATGTATATTTAACGTGTTTACTAGTGGAATCTGTATATTTACTGCCCAGAAGAAAAGAAATGGGTTTATCATTTTAGTGCATTTGTTCCTCATACTACCCATATTTCACACTAGTTTGAAAGGATTGGGGGAGTTTCCTGCTCAGCTTTATGCAATTTCAGTTTCTCTGTTTTGTGGATGTTTTCCAAAAAAACCCAACGAAGACTGTTAAAATTTTGAATTGATGAAATATCTTAATTCTTGGTTTTGCTACCTTCTATATAGTACTCTTTTCAGCATAATCATTGGTCTGCACAGAGTAGATACTAGTAATGTGCTGTCACGAATGGTAGAATACAATGGTTGCCTGGCTTTAGTTTCAGTGCTTATGTTAATTCATTATGTTCTAGATGTTAGGCTGTTTCCCCGAGGGGTAAAGTTTTATGGGTTATTATCTCTAAGTCATTCTTATGTTTATACCCAAGATCACTGGATAGATATTTTCACTGTTTTGCCCACATCATTCCATTTTCCTGCAGCAGCTTTCGCGGGCAGTTCTGCTGCTGCATGCTTGGATTTGGTTGTGTCTTCCTGCAGCCTGTGCATGCTCTCGCTGCTGTCCTACCACGCTTCCTTGGCCACCCCCCGATACTGTAGGCTAGAGCTTGAATCCACGGAGAAGGATTTCTCTGAACTCAGCTGCCTGCTATAAGAAGTCCTGAAGTTCAAGATAATATAAATACAGCCTTGTATATATTTAAAAAAAACAACACCGTAATTATCTGTTCTTTTGTGATTAATTTGCATATGTGTGTGTGCTGCCCTTACGTGAAACACTGCTGTACAGTAGGGTCAGTGCCTACATCTTTGAGTGGTTATTTACAATAGCTGTTGTCCAAACATGCAAAAGGCCAAGTGGCTTCACCCACCTCTCAACGCCGTCTTGTCCGCCTGGGGCCTCAGCGTGGACCCCTTTGTCTTTTCACGTCTCTCCGTCAGCTTGTGGGAGAACAGGAGCTGTAAAACCCCGGCCGATTCCCAGCCGCTGTCAGGTAGTGTACCTGTTGTCTCTCTCCCTCTCGCTGCCTGCCTTACAAAAGGCCACGATGGCCGGAGGCAGGGCTCTGGCTCTGGAGGTCGAGATCTGTCCCTCCTGCCATTTGGCAGTGCCGTGTTTGTAGACTGTCGTGCCAGATGTCTTCATTGCTTAGGGCAGAAACATGTGCGTAGATGTTGCTGTTCGAATCTCTTCCAAATTATACAATAAAACAGGCAGAAAATTAAATGAAGTATCGCTTTGTGAAAGCGCAAGCATGAGCCCCTCCTGGCCTAGGCTGGCTCCCTGGTCAAACCCACCTTCTGGTTAACAGTCTCACCCCAGCAATGCCCATTCTTCCTCCTTCTTGTCGTCCAGCACCAAAGCCTCAGCTTGAGCTTCCAGAGGTAGAACTCAGGCCACAGAGAGACACCTCCATTTATTGCTCCCTTCTCCCTCCAGCCCCAGCCAGCCAAGAACAAATGGGGGAGAATCAGCATCTTCCTACCAAAGGCAGGATTCTCCTCCTAAACGTGGGCAAAGGTGAATAGGCTTCGCCGGCTGTCTCCTTTAAAGAGTGACGTGCTGTTCAAATAATTGCAGATCAGATGGCCTGCCAAGAACATACAGTGATGTAGACCCGTGCATCAGTCAGAAGACTGATTTTAATTCAACACGGAGAAAGGCACCCTTGAAGTCATCAATACTTCAACATCTTTGCCAGTTAAGCGTGGATTTTTCTTACCTGCTTGACTGTGTCCATTGGTGGGAACACCTTCCCCAGTTAAGATCCTCCCTTACTGAGTTACTGAAAGTAGGAGGGACCTCTGGAAGTCCTGGGTTGGCAGCTAGACCTTCTGCTACCTGCAGCTATTCTGAGATGAGGCTTCTGCTGCGAAAAGTCTAGCATTTTTCTACAAAGTCCATGAGACCTACGGCTCGCTCTGAAGTCAGTGCAAGTGTGCAGTAGGCACATTGGTTCGTGATGATCCAGGAAGGATGGCTGAGCCTTGCAGGGCTGCAGGTCCCAGCGTGCCGTCCTGCAGTGGTGCAGGTGCTTTGCCGCTTACGCCCTCAGCCCCTTCCAACAGCTATCCCAGCAGAGGTGTCTGAAGGAGGGAGGGTTAAATCTGCACCTTCACAGACTGAACTGCCTAACGAGAGGCTTGCGTAAGCCTCTCATTACAGCTTGCTTGCTGTAAGCCCACAGCACAAGGAGAGCAGGAGGAGGCTAAACGGTGCTCCTTCTTTGGTTGCCTTAACCCGGGGGTAGATTCCTTCGTCTTCAGGAGCTCTGGCGACGTTTGCGCAATTTTAACAGCCCCGGCTGAGAGGGGCAGATGTGGTGAGATTTGTAGTTCAGTTTGGCCACAGCACCATGGAGGTGCTGTCTGACCATCACTTTGTCTCTCCTGAGCCACAGTAAGTGGCTACGTTGACTGTCTCTTGACTTCTCCAGCTTGGCTCCCCCAGCTATTCCTGGCTGCTTGGACAGAGCAGGTTTCCTCCGTCAGTACTTTTTTTAGTCAGGTGGCTGTTACTCACCCGATACAGAAAAGAAGAAAAATGTTTACTAACGCTACAGTAGTTGTGGCTCTTCGGGGCACATTCTCCATAGAGGCACCACAAGCGATCTCTTGTCCTTCGCTCTGAAGGAGTCTTTACTGTTGGCAAACCTGAGAGAGGTTAGACTGGGGCATCCTGAACTTAGTTTGCTCCGTTACCACCCTGAGCAGCAGCAGCAGCTCCTGGCTGCCTCGGCCTGCACGTGTTCATCCTCCTTCTTCCCAAACCAGGGTGCCAGTCTGTTCCAGCTTTCCGGTCCCGACACCGCGCTCCCAGCTAGGACGTCAACTCTTGCCCCACGTATTTCTCTCCCGTGACCCTGCTGCCTTTCATCAGCCACAGTAAACCTTGCCAGCTCCTTCCATCTAAAACCCTGAGACGGGCGCACAGGTTTGGGAGCAGCAGGGCTACAGCAGCCACTGAAGAGGGAGGTTGCCGCTTCCCAAGGCAGCACGTTGATGGCGGTGGCCCGTGTCATGGCTCCCGCCCCACGGCACGAGCGAAGAGCGGAACTGGGAGCTGCCGTGGCTGCAGACCGCAGTAGGTGGTGCGGTGACGTGCGTGGCACCGTTCGGGAGCCCTTTGCCTTACGCCACTGCTGGTGGCAGCTGGGGAGGGTTCACAGGCACAGCCTGGATGGACATTACTGTCTGCGGAGAACTCGATCCTGTTCATGTGAGTACATGCTCACCTGGGATCTGTGTGGACAGCACTTCTTAAAGAATCACAGTTTCCATAGGGTAAGTAACCGCTTTTCATTTTGTTTCCTTAAAGAAATATTTAAAAGCCAGGATGACTTTGTAATACTATTAAATCCTTAACCAGTTCCACGGTTATTATGACTCTGATGTTTCTAGGACCCTTCTCTGGTTTAAAACTGATTAATTTCAGGAATCGAAGCTAGATTCACTGTTCCTGTATACAAGGTGTAATGACAGATACTGTGTTCTCGACACTGTGTTCTCATTATTGTTATCTTATTTTGAAAGAAAAGAACCATGAAACTGGTGTTTTCCTTTACTGTGCGCTCTTAAGAAAAATAAGAAATGCAAGTTAGGAGGAGGATACCTGGTTGTATTCGTGTAATGTCTTCATTATCCTTTTAGTTTAGATATCAAGTAATATTTTAAAACATTTGCAAGTGCAGTTATTTTTTCAGATTTTTAAAGATGAACTGTGAATTTTGAAAAAAAGTATGTTCCTCTTTTTTAATATTAAAAACAGGAATAAATGATTTAGCCTCGGGTTTGAGGGCTTTTTTTTTTTTTTCTTTGACTCCTGAAATGGTAAAAATTCAAATAGTGTCTAACCTGGAATTACCTGGGTGTTTGGAGAGTTAGCAAAATTAGTGCCTCATGGATACTGGAAGATCTGATAAATTCTAAGAATTCTAATCTGACAAATTATAGAAGTTGTATTTTGTTACTAGTTCCCAAGTGGGTTTTGGGCATGTGCACGTGACAATGCTTTTTGCAGTGTGATGCTTCTCTACTTCATGTAGAGAATAGCTTAAGCTTTGTAATTCATTAAAGATTGTTCCTAACTCATCTAGTTGAGAAGAAAACTTAATAACACTGTAACTATAAGCAGTTATGAGAAGAATGGTACCTCTTTGTCCAGTATTCTGCCTCAGAGATTTTCTGGCACCAAAAGCTTCTGAGAAAGGTGGTTTAAAAATCAGCATTATCAGGACAACTTTTGTATTCTGCACATAAGAAAAAGTCTGTTATCCAATAGCTGATTTATTGTCACAAAGCATAGGAATTTTTTTATTTTCTGTTTTCACTTTATCCTGTCAAATGCAGCAGATGTTTTCCTTATTCATACAACTTATTGCTTTTGTGTGTATGTTGTTAAGCTCTTTGCTTAATAATGGTCTTGTAGAAGTTGAGATCCCAGCTAATTGTAGGTATAGCATTGTCCTCATCTGGATCCACTGCATTGTGATTTTGCTATATTCATAAGGTAATGAATGAGAGTACCTGACCTTCCTCCTTCATTCTCTTCAGCATTTTAACTACATCTGGTGTTTATCTTGCTTATTGACTTGTTCCAGTTCCTTCAGTTTCCCCTGATAGAATAGTCTTTCCATGCCTCTAGTGGCCCATCTCTGAGGGCATCTGCTTTTAGCTGAAGTGACTTCAGATGTGTGGTGAGAATTGAGTACCATAAGCTTTTAAAAGAAAATGTTGAATGCTGTTGAGAAGGCATTATAATATTTTACATAGAATTGGGGGTGGGGGGTCGGGGGGGGGGCTGTTGAACAGGAAATGGTCTGTAAATACCAATAGTGGAGGGACTAAGTCCATGAGGACTTAGTCCATTACATTTATGTGGCTGTCTTAAATATTGTCTACTTATTGTGAGCTACGTTAGTAGAAACATCTGGATAATGAAGCTCTTCCTTTCTGCTGTGATAGTGGAAGATGTTGAGATAGGCTTTGCAGGGTAACTAATTTATGAGGGTCTTGCTGAGAGAGGGATTAAGGAGTCATCAGCATTCTCTCCCTGAAACAAGGTGATCTGGGGCCAAAGAGGAGGTGAGGGTTGTGCCCCCTCTCGCTCATTAGTTGAAAACAAACCTTTCACTTTTTCTTTGAGTACTGGGGCTGTTTCTCCCTCCTGCCTGTATGTACAAAGCCCCAAATAAATGCACCTCAGCTGTCATGAGAGCTTCAGTCGGTTGCGCTTGAAGCACTTTTGCACTTTAATAGGTGTTCAAGGATGCCGGTTTGCTCACGTTCATGCTTACCAGCAGAGGAGGCTGGGGCTGTGCAAAGCTGGACTCAGTACCGAAAGGAAGAATACTTTACTGGAGCGAATGGGAAGTGAGAACGGGAGATGGTTTGTGTGGGGGGAAATGTTACATTACTCTGGGGCTCCTGCCAAATGCCTTCAGCCTGCTATGCCGTGTGGGGTATGTGCACTGTATAGGGCTTCGCCCTTACATACCTGGAAGGGTTGGAGGGGATAAACCTCCCCGTTACAATGAGGCGCTGAACATGTTTTCCTCGTATACCTGTGTCATCCAGGAGGCTTTCTAGCAAGAAAAGGAAGACGTGCTGCAAATTTACAAAAGGATGGTGGCGGGGAAAAGGGAGATATAAGGGAAATTCCAGAAAGGCCCTCTGGATTTGCTCAGGCACACCTAGACTTGCCCTCTATTGGGATTTACCTGTAGCATGTACATCATCAAGAGGCTTTATTATTTTTTTTAAATTAATTTTATTTTCCTTTGCAGGTCACCTTTTAAGCTGCTATTTCCTGTATAATTAAACAGAATGAAGGCATTAGGTTCTAGTAAAGTTGGGCCTAATCCAGAAATCTTCTCTTATTCAGTGCTTTCTGAGTAAGAAACTCAAGTCTGGGCCCAGCATTTTATGTGTTTCACTGTTATTTCTAAATTGTTTGTGGTCTGTGGATTTTTTGTTTTGTTTTGTTTTTAACTTTATTGAAAACTCCTTTGCTTTTGTCTTATTTTACCTCTTTATGTGTTACTGTCCAGCGTAGCGTTAGTTGAAATGATGTAAGTATACTGTGAATTGAAATGCATAATTGCTACTGATAATGCAAGAACAATTGATTCCTACAGTTTATAATTAACAGTACATAATGTTCTATGCATGGGTTGGATCTATCCCTTTTAACTTTTCCTTTCCAATTCTTTCCAAACCCTGGTCTTGCCGCATCCCAGCCTTTCTGAATATACTGGTTTCGCTGGAGTCTAGTCCATTCTTCCTTTTGTTTTTCAGACCAGTAAAAATGGGAAGTACTGGATTCTGGTTTCCTCCAAGAAGAGTCAGCGGAACTGGTTAAGACCAAAATCTGAGGACTTTAGTGGGCAAACATCAGGTGTGCATTGAACACAGGCTGCTTTAATCCTGCTTTAAGTATATGCTTCTTTAAAAATAGTATTATATATGAGCTTTTGTGTAATGTGTTTGTTATATTTGATACTGCATATAATCATTCATCCTGCAGTTGTGAAAGCACCAGTAAGAATGAGGATTTTAAGTGATAATATGTTGAGACACAAACAGGCAATATTACTCATAAAATTCTTTCAGCTGGTCTTTGGAAAGTGTAATATTTGAGGATCAGTGGTTTTTAAAGTTTTATCTCCATTGCTCAGTCTATATATCCACAAGAAAAAAAAGAAGGTGGTTATTTGCTATTCAGAGATCAATACTGAAGTTCTTAATTGCCTCATCTGTTGAGAAATGGTACTGCGATAATAGTGCATACATATTTTTTAATAAAACACTGTCATTGTCAAAGATTGGATCCACACTATATTTGTTCTAATGATGCATTTTTAAGGACACTTAAACACAGTTCAAAGTCAGCTTAATTAGTTTTGATCATAGAGGAACAAAACCTGAATCCTTCATCCGTGTGAATGTTTTGAGTTACTTCTGGTACAGCAACTAGGTTACCTGAAGTTTTGGAGAAGACAACAGTAATGTTGCATTGGCCTGAATATAGGATGGCCTCCACGCTGAGGTGTGATCTTTGCACTGAGGAAAGGAGTGAGAAGTTGTCACAGTTGTTAATTTAACAGTTAAGCCTCGTAGGCTGTTCCACAGCAAATGCTGCCTTTGGCCTCACGTCGGACCCCGCGTATCACCCTTCTGCATGGCCTAACATCCTGCATCTCCCCAGCCTGATGCACGTTCAGTTCCCCCCCACCTGCCCCCGGCGTTACCAGCTCGCCCCTCTCCTCGTGTCCTTAGATATTCCCAACCCCTGTGCAGTGCTCCCTGCACCTCCCTGGCCGCACAGCCCCATCCTGGTTCTGTCCGTTGTCCCTCCGTGCAGCAGCTCACCCTCCCTCCCTGTGTCCTGCCAGCTGTGCCTGCTTCCCTTCTCACCGGCTGGGCGCAGAGGCCACTTGCCGCTGAGCTCTGGACCCGGCACGTTCGAATTAACCACGCTCCCCTGCAGCAGACTGTGGAGGCAGTTCCCTTGCCCTTCGCTGCTAATGCTGCCTGCCCCTTCTCAGGCTAGGTGTGGATTTGGCAGGGAGGCCAAAGGGGTCGTAGCCCTTTCTTACCCCTTCGAGACTGTAGGTGCCCTAGCCTCGCAGTGAGGGCCACGGCTGCTGCGCTGTTGGCTCTGTGTGGCGGGTCTCATATAGGTGCCTGTGTGGTATAGATATACCCTATGTAAGTGTAGATCGTGTTGGGCTTTTTTTCTCCCCCTGAACTTCATTTGTCAGGAGAGATGAGGCTAAAACAAGATTTCATTCTACATTCAGGCCAATATGCGTAGAAGACCAGTGTGCTCATTTACAGGAAAGCAAAACTAATTTTATTACCAGATTCTGATTAAAGCGTATATTGAAAAAAATCTTTCAATCCACAAATATATCACAACTTTGATGTGAATCAGACCTTCCTTTTAATTACATTGGTGGCTTCACTGAAGTCTTTGGAACTGGTCTTCATTTACTTCTATTGCAGAAAATTATTGCTCCCAAGTCTCCAAACAACTGTTTCATTCTTTCACTTATGAACTAGGTAGTTTATTATGAGACAGAAAATAAAATTAAGCTGATACTTTGAAGACCTGTGCATGTTCCCACTCATGGAACTGGTGTCTCCAGGCTTCGTCCCGTGAGTGGGAATGAGTCCGAGACAAATCTGAAATCATAAAGAGTCCTTTTCTGTCACTGGGTATCTTTAAAGAGGTTAGTGGTTCCATGTAATATTTGGGGGGGTAAAGGTGGTCTTACAAAACTTCTTGCTTCAGGAAGGTAGCGTAGTTTAACCTGCCATTCCAGGACTTTAGGGTCAAAAGGCAGCAGGTTTCCATCTTGGTGTGCCAGTACCTCTCTCCTCTCGTAAAGACGAGGGAAGAGTTATGGGGAGGAGGGAGGAAGAGGCATAGACAAAGACATACTCTGCGTACGCGTTTCAAACGGAGATCTCAGTCTGAAGATTTCGTAAAATGCAGGCATTAGAGAGGCGCATCCCCTTCTCCGCCTCCCTGCCCCTCCAGCCCTCCTGTCCCGCCACGCATGGAGAAAAACGCAGGCTCTCCTTCCCCCTCGCGTTCTTCCAGGGCCACGCCGGGGCCCTCGCAAGGACTGTTCCGTTTTGCCCCCATCGCACCTGGGCACCGCTCTCCGCTCCCCTCCGGCGCGGTTGCCTCCCCCTGTCTCTGCTGAGCCTCACCGGGGGAGAGAGGACAGCTGGGACCGGGCCCAGGCCGCCCCCAAGCTACCAGCCTCCCCTCGCTGCCAGCGGGGAAGAGTCCGTTTTGTTTATCAGGGAGACGGCCTTAGGTTGGAGCAGCTGCGGCCTGGTGCTCCCTGCCCGCCTGCCCGCCTCCACCTGTCCCAGCAGCTGCTGCCTTCCCCTGCCCTGCT